CAAAGTCTCTTACAAGCACACCAGGCAAATCCAGAGAGAATCTGAGAAGCAGCCAGCCCGGGTTAGACTGGATCGCTTTCAGAGAGGAGAGAGAGAAAGAGAGAGACTGCGAGAGAGGGAGAGATTGTGTGTGTGTTTGTGTGTGGGAGAGAGAGAGAGAGAGGGAGAAGGAGAGAGAGAGGGGGAGAAGGAGAGAGAGAGGGGGAGAAAGAGAGAGAGAGAGAGAGAGAGAGAGAGAGAGAGAGTGTTCTGCAGTGGCAGAAGCCTTTTGATTTGGAGTTAAAAAAAAATATCCAAGAAGCCTGCAATTGGCCAGCAGCTTTAAAAAAAATCTCTTCCGGGTTTTCAACGGTTCCAAGTTTATTTGGCTATTTTTTTTAATGCAAAAAACAGGGGACAAGCTATGAAGCAATTCGTCTGAGCATTTTAAAGTTTCTCACGTACTCTTTTTACATTGCAATGGTACGTGGTACATCTTAAACTTTCTATTTTACATTTATACTATATGCGTTATATAAACAACGGTAGAATGGTTATGCTTAATGGCTAAGACTTTAAAATTTCTCTAGCTCGAATATGCACTTAAGTGATTGCTGGGTAAATGTCTATTGTGATGGTTTTATTTTAAAGATACAGCTTCGTGGATGGCGTTTGTACTATGTGTAGCAGAGAGACCGGGTTTCTTTTTCTTTCTTTCTTTTTTTTTTTTTTTCCAGGATTTGAAAAAATTGCTGAGCTTAACAGATTTTTTTTTCCTCCTAGCGCTTGCTCGGTTCCAGAAAAGGGGGAAGGGGGAGGAGGGGATCCTGTACGTGCTCTGCTCTGTTAAAGACGTCTGGCCTCTGCAGTCAACCTAACCCGAAAAGAACTGTCTGGACCAGAGAATAATTGACGATTCGATCCTCTAATCAATGAGACAACATATAAGATTGACAGAAGCTCTATCCAATCATGAGAAAGCTTGGGTGTACAATGGTTCGTAATAGCCTTAGGGGGCGGGGCAAAGGAGATCTGAAGTTCTCTGCAGTTCTGAAGGGGTTGGCGTGTTTGTAGTTCAAGCTGTCAAAGACACCAGCGCTTCCGGATTTAGCAATCACAATAGGAAAGATTTTTTGAGTTTAAAGGAGAAAAAAGCTGTTTGGGAGGATTTTTGCATGAATCCTGTGTGCCTTTTAACTTTGCTCTTTTGGAAACTTCTGCTAGAGTAATATTTAACCTTGCATTAGCTGTTGTTTTTAATACTCAGGGAAGTTGATAACTTGTAGAAGAAGAGGTTTAACTTGTTTGAGAAATCACTGAGTGTTACAAAGCTTCTCACTGGTTCTTTTAGAGTCTTTGGCATATCAAAGGGAGAGAATGCTTCACTTGTAGAAAGACAGCTGCTCTATAGATTGAAAAGGAGGAGGGAAGGAGCAGATTTTCTTGAATTCTATCATTTCAGATGATGGTCTGTAGCAAAGAGCATTTTAAGAATCACCAAGTTCACACTTCTCCTTGTGACCACAACTTTACTGGAGATACAAGTGCGGGAGATGACCCACTGTCCGCATTAGCTGCTGTCTGGCCTTTTGTTCAAGTCCTTGCCATCTGTATGGTGGAAACCAACTACCTTAGTTTGTCTTGGAGATGTAACTTGCGGCCTCTGACTCAAATATATCAACCACCTCCTAATTCTGTAGGGAATGAGTGGAAAATAATATGGACTCCTTACTTTTTTAAAATGTGAATTTAATGCTCATCCAAGTATTTCCCTAGGCCTTGTGCCTTTAGGTCACACTTGGTTTGGAAAGTTGATGTGACAGTTCACTTGTATCCTCAATTCAGCAACACGATTCAACTGGGGATAATATGCAAGTTAGAGAAGTCTGCACAGGAGTTACCAGCAAGTCATAAACTAGTGAAGGAAATGCTGGGAAATGCTAGTTATTAGAGCTAGTCTTGGTAATAACTATAGAGCAAATAGTATTGTCACTTAGGAATCCCAGTCCCATCTTCATTATGTTGGGCATTAAAATCTAAATCACATTAATACAATTTCCCAATTAAGTAGACTAGAAACGAGAGGTATTTCGGATGTATGTAGAAGTGAAACTTTATTGACGTAATTTATACATCTAAGAGGATTTCACTAAAGCTGGCAAGGTAACGTTTCTGCAAATAAAACAGTAAATGCAAGGCTGGGCTCTGTGCCAGGGAGAATATGGATAGCAGAGAGCATGGCAGGAACCTCCTTTTTGCAAAGACAATCCAGTTTCAAGGCAGCCTCCTACCACTTGCAAAATAAATGACTGGAGTAATGTTTCCAATAAGGGGTTTACCCTTCCTAACAATGGGTCATTTATATGATTGCAATAAACCAGTTTTCATATATCACCTGTGTTTCCTACACTCTCTTTTCCCTTCTCTTTACCCCTCTCCTCCCTCCCCCCTCTTTCCCTGTCCTTCCTTCCTCCCCCTCCCTGAGTATCTTTGTGAACTCTAGACAAGGATTTACTTTTGCAACCTAGAAGAGGGGAGAAAGTTAGACATGCTTTTTACCCTGTCTGTCCGCTCTGGAACATCTGTTTCTTTGTGTGTTTAAATTTATGCCTGTTGGAGAGAAAGTTACCAGAAGCCATTCTGTAACTGTAACTCTTCTACAGTATTTTTTCTCAGTTTAGTTTGTAAAGGCTGTAGTTGGAACTGGGCTTTGTAGTGTTCCCCGCCTTCCACCCTCCTCCGGAGCGGGGGAGGGAGCGGGAGCTGGCACAGATAGGAGAGAAAGCAGGAGCGGATGTGGAGGGCTTTGGTGCTGAACTTGGATCCAGCCCTTGCCTAGAGGGCGCAAACAATCGTCCCATATCCAAAAGTCTTACGAAGGGCGCCAAAAGTTACTTAAGATAATATTGCTAACCGCAGAATGCTGGAAATCGCAGGCACATCCACTGCTGCAACAAAAGAAGTTTCTAAAATGGAAATATCAGCATTCAACTACTTTCCCAATTTAAAAAAAAAAAAGAAGGCATGGCGGAAGCCAGCTATTTTTTTTTAATTCCCCTTGAGAATCAAAAGTAAGAAAACAGACAGATGTGAAGTGTATCTTTATATAAATAATAATAATAAAACCGCTTTGGAAGAGAGCTTCCCTCAGAGCACACACGGGACAATAACTTGTCACTGTGCCTCAGTTACATGTTTGGTCCCTCAGCCAGAAACTTCTGTCGAGGAAACTTGGAGAGTCTTGAAGTTATAGATCCCAGCAAAGGGTTTCCTGGCCAGGAATGTTTCTCTAACTCCTTGTAGCTTGGAGGACATTTCTTCCTTACTGAAAGACACGAGGAACCAAGGAAAGGCTATTGCTTAGTCTGGTGAAATGGACGTCCTAAATAAAGGTTGAAGTTATTATTTTTCTTCAATCCTTAATAAGTAATGGGACAGGTTTCCAAGAACATGCAAGAGCAGGGAGTGGGTGGGAAAGAATGGATTCTTGGGTACTAGAGCAAATACTATACCCCCAACCCGACTAGAGAAGAAACACAACTTTAGAGATGCAGGCTGCTGCAGAATGTTCTAGCTGGCCTTCTCTAGTACCATTCTTGCCTCTTCCAAAAAAAAAAAATGTGAATGAAAAGTGCCCAATACTCCATCAGTCACCCTTCTGTCCGGTGGGCACGCCTGCTAGAGCCTTGTCACCTCCACCAGGGAGTAGATCCCTGACCTGTGTGCCGGTGTCGGGATCTGAGGATTTCTGAGAAGGGTTGGTAAATACAGAAGGCTGCAAAACTTCAGGAAGAGCAAGAGGAGAAAATGAGAGTCTGGAGGAGACAGGTATACTATTTTTTTTTCCTCCAGGAGAAAAGAATCTAGAGAGAAAATATGAAGTTAAAAAAAAAAGAAAGAGAAAAAAGAAAGCTGGAAGAGCAGGCTTGTTGGCAACGTGCCAAACCCTAAAACCGCCCCCCCTCCCGCGCGCCAAAACAATACTTTAGCAAACCTAAAATAATTGCAGGAAGCCCTTTTCCATTTTCAGAAATATTACCAGTGTGTGTGGCGGGGGGGGGGGGAGGATTGGGGAACCGCAAAACTCACCCTTCTAGAGGGGTCTGGGGAACGCGGACTCGTATGTTAGCCCATGTCCAGTTCTGGACTCTTTTTTGGGAATACAAACATATCCCTTTCCTAAGGGGACAGCCCTTTCACAGCTTTCCTTCTCGACACACAGAAAGATGTCCCAGCTAAAACACTGTTGTTTCTGACGTGACAGAACTTTTTGGGGGCGTTTGTATTCAAACCCACCAGCTCCGACTTCTAGAAGAGAACAGCTCCTGACTCTCCGCCTTCCTTTCTCCGGATCCCCATCCCCCGCGATCTGGGGAATCTTTGGGGTGATCTTACTATATTCCCCAGCACCCGGATAGTGACTGCTATAGGGCCGTGGCTGCCCAAAGTTAGCAGGCTTTTGTGCATAATTACCTCCGCCGAAGACACTATTCCCACAGAAAGCTTCGCAGGAGAGATTACAGTGCTTTGAGCTTTACCGCATTTCAGAGGAAGGGGGGAAAAGTTACCTAGAAGGTCTGATTTTTTTAGAGGAAATTTGCATACATGCAAATGTATCGCGCGCCCTTCTCTAAGGCTTCTAGGGAGCCCACCCAGCGGCCCACGGGGGTACGGAGCGCCCTGGCAAAGTTGCCCCAATCTTCCACCGACGTCCGCGGAGGGCTGCGGCGCGAGTGGGGGGATGGGGAGGAGGAAAAGTAGTTTTGTTTGCTTAAGCACATCCTGTGGCAGCCTATAGCCGCCCGGAGGACACGCTGAAAACCGCTCCGCGCCGTGTTCCCGGGACCGCGCCGAGCCGGGCGGGGGCGGGGGCCGCGGGAGGCAGCGAGCGCGGAGCAAGCGGCGGGCGGGCAGCCGCGCAGGCTGGGGACCGGTGTCAGCGCCGCAGCCGCCCCTCCCCCACCCAGCCTTCCCCCCCCAACCCCCCCGCGGCGGCGCGAGCGGGCGGCGGCCGAGCGGTGCGGTGCAGAACGCGGCGCAGGCGGGCGCGCGGGCAGCTCGCGGGCACCCGGCCGGCCGGCGCGGGAGCGGGAAAGGGTGCGCTATGCCTTTAACGCCCGCGTACAGTAGACAGTATAGTGGAGTGTAGGGAAACTCTAGGCGGGGTTAAAGTTCAGCGCGTGGAGCGGCAAGAGCGCTGGCTGCTGCAGTTGAGCCGAGTTGGAAATGTGAACGCAAGAAGCAGGCTTGATTTTTTTTTCCTCCCCCCCTCTCCTAGCTCTCTCCTCCTCTCTCTCCCTCTCGCACCCACACTCACGCACACCTCCAGCCCGCACACAGACGTGCACGCACCCCCCGCCGCCCGGCAGTTATGTATTCTCCGCTCTGTCTCACCCAGGTAAGCAGCTGCGGGGGCGCGGGGCGGCCGTGTGCCTCGGCGGGAGCCGTGTCTGCGCGTGTTTCTGTGTGTGCGCGCGCGTGTGCGGGGGGGGGGGGGGCTGCAGCTTTAAGAAAGTAACTTTGTTTCCATGCGGGTGCATTCCTCCTGCTCGGCCATTTGTGTGGGCACATGGCTAATGGCGCCCTCTTATTAATGCGTTAATTAATATCGGGGCGCCGGACTGCGGAGCGCCGGGGCTTGCGGGCGCCCCGCACGTGTGTCCGCGGCTGCAGCCCCTGACACGCTGCAATCTGGACTCGGCGTCTGCGGCGCGGAGCGCGGTGCCCGCGGTTCCTCCGCGCCGGGGAGGGGCGGCGGAGTCCCCGCAAGCCCCGCACGCCGGCTGTACCGGGGCGTCCTGTCTGCCCGCGTCCTCCCGCGCCACCGCGCCCCCCGCCGACGCCCCAACTCTTACTTTTGTTTTGTGCCAGCTTGCGGGCCGGGCCGGGCAGCGCCCCTCGGACGCGGCGGGCGGTGCGAGCCCTTGCCCGTGGGCTCCATGGTCGCACGCCCCGCGCCGGCCCAGGACCTTGCGTCCTCGCCTCCCGCCCGCGGCCCCCGGCCAAAGTTTCGGGGTCGGGCGTGCCCAAGCTGCGCAGGCCAGAGAGCTGCCGAGGCCGCGGGTTGGGCCGGGCTGGGCCGCTGCGGGTGGAGTGGGGCTCCGGCCCGAGGTCGAGCGGTGGCCGGACCGGAGTCGGCTGCCCTGCTGCCGCCGCCGCCAAAGCACGGCCCGGGAGCCTCAGCACGCAGGACCCGGCAACTTTCCCTGCAACCCCACTCGCAGCGTGGGGTTTGGAGCCCCTCCGCCCCTCTTTCTCGAGCCTCCCAGCCTATTCCTCCCGGTCTCGTCTGCACCACCAGCAAGGAAACATTGCTATTTTGCGGCTCCGGATCTGGTCCCGTTTGAATATATTATTTATTTTCTCTGACTAAAAAGGCACAAAGTCAGAGTGATTTGCGCTAATTTTTCTTCTTAAGCACGAGTCTTTATACTGCTCTAAAACATTGCAGTCTGACCAGTAATCACCTACATGAAGTTATATGCTTCTAGCACAAGGTTTATTCATGACTCCTTCCAAACCCCGCTACCACTGTGCCTTCAATGAGCTGGAGCTAACGGTTTACCGGGAATACTTTGGAAGACTGAAAGTATCAGTAGCTTTTCCTCTCCCCTCTAGATTCTGGATTTATTTCCCACATGACTTCCCTTCTTACTGCAGTATCTAAGAGTAATAACACTGGCCATTTGATCTCAGAAGACTCTTAAATGCATCTTTTATGTGGAGATGGTCTGTTTGGGATTTAGGCCTCACATTAATAATGGATAGCAGTTGTTTTAGTTATTGTAAAAGCCCCCCCCCCACACACACACACTTCCAAAGTTACTATTTTAGTAGCTTGTGGAAGTATGGAATGAAACTTCTCCAACCACTTCTGGCAAGGTTCACAATTGCATATGGATAAGATGCAAAGTGTAGGATAATTTGAATGAGTGATACTCTGCAGTGAAAGTGCTGAGATTCGAAGGCTGAAATTCCAATTGGCAAAAGTTTGCAGCACAGAGAACTTGTGGATAATGCCAGCAGGCTGCACTAGCAAGAAAGACCCTGATGGACACAACGGTGTCTCCTCGAGTAGGATTTGGAAAGATAAAGTTCTGGTCTGGGGCTCTGCCTTTCTGAAGCATACCTGTGTCTCTACGCAGGCCCAGGGCAGAGTCAGGTATTTAGCAAAGTTGGCTTCTTTTGAGTTATTATCACGTTCAGAAAGTTTTTTTTCTTCCCCTTTTCCCCTCCTACACACTTGGCAGCATTGATTGATGCATTCACTAGGCCTCCACACCACTAAGAGAAACGCTTATTTGCTGTAGCAGTTTGGGAAGAAAGTGTACAATAAACAGGGAATAAAGGCTCACTTGTTTTATGAGAGGGTCTTTAAAAGTTGATTTACAATTTATTTAACTTTCTGGAATATTTATAACACGTTCGAGCCAGTTTCAGAAAGAAAAACTTAGGTCGTTTATTGCTCATTTAAAAAATAAAATAAAAGGATCCAGGACGCATGGTGATAAGTGTATTCTAACTGTAAGAGTAAGCTCAGTTTGCTGTGTGCACTTTGAAGGGGCTTTACCTTGAGAATGCCAGGCCTCTTCTTTTGATTGAGGATAGGCATATCATAGTGTACCTGCCGAAATCCTGACAGGTCAGCAGAAATTTATGAGTAAAGCTTGGGGAGGGGGGGAACCCTAGTTTCCAGCACCACCACTATTCTGTGGCTCTTCAACTTGGCCTGCTTTCAACAGACCCACATTTTAGATGCCGATTCAAAGCAATGCGGCTTTGAAGCTGGTCCACAGGTTTATTTTTATTGGTGAGTTGTAACAGTCTCATCAACTATGTGTGTAAAATATGACTTGTTTGCTCCTGAATATTTTTTGAAATAGTACATAATTTATGGTGTTTTGTTCAGCAGCATGACTTATGCGAGGAGCATCCCCTCACCCCCGAAACATTTATGCTTTCTTTGGACATTTCCTGTATTTTTTTTTTAAGTTTGGCTGATTTGAGAGCTATTTCTATCAATACATTGGCTAAGTATGATTGTCATTTGAGTAAAGCTATATAAAATATTGTGTATTTTTACTCACATTCTCGAAACCTTTGGGGAATAATGCATTGTAAATACTTCTGATGCAGACCTGGGGAATGTAGATGGTCCATGATGGCTAGCTGACCTTATTTTCAGATATTTTATGAAGAGACCTATGGGCATTTGGTTGGCAGGTGAATGCAGTGCTTCTGAACGTGAACTGATGCAGTTTTTAGTTTTTAAGAAGTATTTTAGGAGTATCTTTGGACGTAAAAAAATACCACGTTAGAATGTTTATTTAATGTATTTATTATCATTAATAAAGTAATGTCTTAGCACAGATACAGTTTATTTTGGAGGGATTTGCCTTGCCTTGTAAAATGGAGCTGAGTCTTTAAAATGAAAGCCTCCCTTTGGAGAAGGCTCACTGTGTAGTTTCAGGTCGACTTCAGAGACTCTTTCCATGATGCCACAGCCTTAGTCTCTAGGATGTCCTGTACACATCTGGATGTCAGTCAATACGAAGTACAGAGCATTTATGTATTTCAGAACATTTCAAGGATGAGCTCAGAATTTAGTAATGTTTAAATGCTTTGTGGTTTGGCATGTACCTTAGCGGATAAACTGCGACTTGCCCCCTGAGTTTTTCTTCCAAAGGAATAAAGATTCTTAAACATTATACAGTTTTAAAATGCTAATGGTTTATGGTAAAGAATAATATAATTCTTGTATTTCACTCTTTTTCCCCCACTTGAAGAATGCACACATGTTAACCAAAGCGCACCCACCGCTTCTTTTTTTGATTCCTTTTTTGAAAAAGAGCAACTTTTAAAACTGAACTTGAGCCACGGAATCTAAAATTTGTGCAGAAAGAGAGAAAAGCTCAATTTTTATAACAATTAAATATACATTATATTATTATACTGTTAATTTAAAGAATCATGTTATATATAATGTTTACATGGTTAATTAAAATTTGTAAAAAATTTGAACAGATTTGGCTATTAAAATATGTTACCTTCAATATACATTTGAATGTTTAAAATTATAATAATTTCTTTAGTAGTAATACTATTTTTGATATTGCAGCTTCTCGTACCTCAAGAATATATATATATATATATATATATATATATATATATATATATATTTAGGTTGTTAAAAATGTTAAAAAGGAATATGTTTATATTTGCCCACTCTAAATCTCCACAAAAAGTCACCAAATATTCCTCTAGTTTTTTATCTTTATTTATTTGAAAGTAAATAATTTATCTTTGTGGCAGAAAGCCGTTATATAAAATTGGTGTGGCCTAGTTAATCAGGAGTTGAATGGCCTCTCTGAGGCATTTGTGAATGTTACTTTTTAACTTTTAAAAAAATTTTATACTTAAAATTTCTAACCAATGTCAACATAAGAATTGCATATTTTTTAAAGTAAACCAGGAAGAAAAATTCAAATGCTTTAAATTTTAATTTTCTCTTCAAATTATCTGACTCTTAAAAAGAGATTTGTGAAGGTTTTCCCTGAATCTCCTGTTTGCTGATGGGGAAAAAGCTGAAATATTATTTTTCAAAAATGAGATGATGTATTTTATAGGGTTGGTTGCTTTTGAGGGTCTTCCCAGTCCAGGCCCACCAGTCTGTGAATGTGTTCAGTTGCTAGAGTGCTGTCACGGTGGGCACCCTGTTTACTCTGGGCATGGAGCTCTGCTTTGTTTGGCGTGCCCCCCCCACTCCTTTTTTGTTCTCTTCCCATAGTTCGTCATGATTTCTTGCGCATAGGTCTTTTATTTTAGCCAAATGAGTACCAGATCTTCCCTTTTTTCCTATAAAGATCTGACACATTTTTTTTTAAATTTTTTTTGGTAAATTATCAGTAACTATAATATTTAAAAGAGTAATTAAGATATTCCCCAAATACATAAGAGGCCGGTGAGAGTCTACAGGGGCTCTCCTGAAGGAAAGCCTTTGTTTTCATTGACGGTAGAGATGGGTCTTGCTCCTAGACTTCCATAAACATTTACTGGCACCTGAGTGCTCAGAATTTGCCAATCTGGCTGCTGGGCCCTGGCTACCCTACAGACGGTGAGGTCAAGGCTGAGACAGAATTAGATATGGCCTCCTGGAAATAGGGTTAAGAGTATATATTGTTATAAGCGCTTAGATCAACTGTGCTTGCTATGCAAAGGGTTTGGGAAGTAGGCCGCACGGTACAATGTTCCAAACTGTGGAGCAATTCTTCGAAATTTTCTCCATTCAGATCATATGTAGTGGTGCTGAGAGTATGTTCCCCTTCCCCTTGGTTGCCCTTAGGGCCTTTAATATGGTTTTAAAGGAAATATAATACTTGGGCCACATTTCATGGGAAATGAAGGATTTCTTTAGGGCAACTCCAGAGGCAAGTTGTCTTCTTTCGTGTTGGTCATATTCGTACTCTTGTTTTTTATTCCTGTGCCTAGGATGAGTTTCATCCTTTCATCGAAGCCCTTCTGCCCCACGTCCGCGCCTTCGCCTACACATGGTTCAACCTGCAGGCCCGAAAGCGGAAATACTTCAAAAAACATGAGAAGCGCATGTCGAAAGAAGAGGAGAGGGCCGTGAAGGACGAACTGCTCAGTGAGAAGCCCGAAGTCAAGCAGAAGTGGGCTTCCCGACTTCTGGCCAAGTTACGGAAAGATATCCGACCTGAGTACCGAGAGGATTTTGTTCTTACAGTTACAGGGAAAAAACCTCCGTGCTGTGTCCTTTCCAACCCAGACCAGAAAGGCAAGATGCGGAGAATTGACTGCCTCCGCCAGGCAGACAAAGTGTGGAGGTTGGACCTCGTCATGGTGATCCTGTTCAAAGGTATCCCGCTGGAAAGTACTGACGGCGAGCGCCTTGTCAAGTCCCCGCAGTGCTCGAATCCAGGGCTCTGTGTCCAGCCCCATCACATAGGGGTTTCTGTTAAGGAACTCGACTTATATTTGGCATACTTTGTGCACGCAGCAGGTAAGTGCGATGGAAAGACCTCCTTCCGCTTTCTTGTGTGTGCCCTTCTGATGATCTCTGGGAATGCTGAACCATTCCTGACCTCCTCGTAGGGCCAACCTAGGGCATCGGGCCAGTGAGCTTTCTGAGGTAAACCAGAGTCAGGACAATTTGCCACCCTCATTCAGTTAAAACAGCAAAGCTGTCAGAGAATTCCCACTCAGGTCACATATGGTAAGTAGTGCTCTCAGAAGTCTTGGTAATGCTGGGGGTGAGAAGGTGTAGTCACCTTTTTTTTCCCCAACTCATGGTAAGAGAAGCCTCATGACAACCCTCGTTATAAAGAATAGATTTTAAGCTGGATTGTGGCCTTGTTAAAAATGCATTTTGTTTGTTGTTTGCTGCTTCTCTGTTGGGACTGTTTTTAAACTTTTGAGGCCTCTTGCACCCCCTTGCCAATTAAGAAGCTGGAGGTAAGGTTACTATGAAAATGCCGGGCATTTATGAAAGAAAGATAATCACATTGATATCCAAGCTTAGCAGCTTCTTATGTGGGAATTCTCTTCGTCATTTCAAATAGCTGAAGGAAACCAATCAACCAGACTCTAAGCAGGTCATATTAAACGTGACCGGCTTGCATAGCCCGTGTGAAATGCATTGGGAAATGGCTATTGGTGATCAATCCACCGACCTATTTCGATTTGCATGAGATTCACTATTGATTTTGAGACCTGTCTTAGCCGAGTGTGCTTCAGAATTTGGAAGAACGTTCAGGAATCAACTGTTGAGGGCTGGCTCGAATAATGCAGCTTTACTTTGTTCTTTTCGTCTTGTTTTAGACAAAGGCTCATTGTGTTACGTGAAAGCTCAGGTCTTGTGTAACTTGTTGACTTTTTATATGTACATATCAGTCTTGCTAGATTGCCTTCATGGCAGTTACTTAAGCCAGATGGGAGAAAGAAAGTTGTGGAATCCTACCAGTGGCTTGTGCAGGAGCTCCCTCTCTCTCCTCCACACACACATTTTTTCTTCTTTTTTCCCCACAATGAAAAGAAAGTATGCTATCTGCAAAGTCAACACTGTTTTGCAAAAGATTTTTAAAATCTGAAAAAAAATTAACTTTCAAAGAAATCGGTTAGCATTTGACTCTATTTTTTTTTTCAATATATGATTTAGAAGGAGAACTTTTGTTACCCATCTGTCCTTACTTAAGAGACTGGAGAAACTGACGTTGCAAGCCTGTCACTCCATCGTTTCTGTCGTGCTGCCAGGGGAGAGATGTGTATTTCAGAGGATGTGCTCTGAAAATGTCTCAAATATTTGGGCTTTTGAAAATGTACACTCAATTACAACGCATGCCTGTTGCTTTAGCCAGTTCGAGGCAGCTGGAGTTCTCAACAGGAACAAGTGGCCGTTCCTTAACCTCCCTCCCCCCCTTATACTTGCTGCTCACTTTCCTTGTCTATAGTAAAAAGCAAAGTTAAAGTTTTTTTTTTTCAGCATTTGCGTGTGTTAAGTGCCTGAGCATGCAAAACAGTTATAAGGCGTTCCCCGTGCTTTTCTAGTGCACTCTTTACATCATATGTTTATCATTTAGATATTTATGAAAAGAATTTATTAATGATGGTGAAAGTTTTAATTGGACAACTTAGAGACTTTAGGATGCCGGCAACGGACGAAGGGTGTGAGTGTGCTTCCTATAAGAAACAACCAAAACTGAAATGTCTGTGGAGTTTCTGTCGGTTTGAGCAAGACCCATTCTGTGCTTTTATGTTAAGCATTTCTATAAGATCTGGGAGAAATTACCTTAAAAGACATGTGGCTGTCTGGCTCTTCCTATTCCCTGGTTCACCTTTCACTGTCAGTGGGTTATTATTGTGTAGTTACTTCCTGTCCTTAAGACAGCACAGTTGCTGGTTGGGAAGACGCCTGAAAGAGTAATGCTGTTGTAATGACATTTGGGAGGTTGCTTAGAAGAGTTAGCATTCTTACAGCTCATGAAAGATTTATTGACAGCCACATGGATCAGACTACCTTCGCTTGGGTGTTCCTTGTGGATCCCAGAATCCCTCCTCAGGACCTGAATACTAGCCAAATGTCTGGCCATTGGTTTCCAGAGCACTACCGTAATGGTTGCCTGCGTGCCCGCAATAGGGAGCTTGCAAAAAGAAATTTGTAGAGGCCTTTTATTGGGAAACACTTCAGATTTGATTTAAGATATTTTGCGACCTCTTATTTGTGGAAGAGAAGTTGCCACTGCTGATACGAGGTAGATCGGTCACCTATGTGCGGCCGATTTGACAAGCATCTCTTAGAAGGCTGAAGATTTGTAAACACTAAACAATGTTTTTACCTCCTTAAAAGTTTTGAGGACTTGCCAGTATTGGCAAGAAGCAAAGGCTCTGAAGCGTGTTTCCCCATCCATGCCAAAACCATTGTGGCCTTTGCACCTGTAGTGCATTTTTTTCATTGCTTTGAAAATGTACTTTCTTCCTTCCAGAATGCCTCCTCTCTTCTGCGTAACCACCAAAATGAGGTTCCCTGCGCTCTTTTAAAATATGTACGTTGATTATTACTTCATGTACTGGCTGATTTTTTTTTTGCAAAACATTAAAATGTGTATACTTGAAGAAAATGAATAATCAAATATTTGTTAAAAGCAGAGGTGATTTTCCCCCCTAAGGCTTAGAGATGATAAAAGCCAGTGCTTTGAGTACAGCCCTAAATCTGGTGGTGTTAGAACTGTGTGACTTTGTGTCAAATAAACAGTAAGACCTATAGTGAAGTCACGTGATTCCATAAGCCTGAGACTTTCATCATGTCCGGTCCATAAAACAACAAAACCATTTTATGTCTTTAATTTGGTCTCTATTTGCATTGTCTTTCCCGAGTATCGTATGACGACTTGGTGGTATTATGGTATCATGGCAAATGGGTTTCTTTGTGGGCATGTAACAGTAAAGCTAATTTATGACTAGCCTTTACCAGATGATCTGTATCAGAATCTACAATATACCCGGCACGTGGCAAGGTCACAATTTAAGTTGTTAAGGTCATAACCTTAGCCACCAGGCATTTGACCTTTTAGATAAAGTTAACCTTTGTTCATTAGTAGGCACTCAACCGAGAACTTTCTGGAGAGTTTTTTCTTTCTTTCTTTTCTTTTTCCATTTTTTTTTTTGAAACTGCTTCTCTATAACTTCTGGAAATGTAATCAAATTCTAAGGATTCTGTTAAGTTAGTTAAATTTTGGTATGAGGTTGCACTTTTAAAAGGACTTCATTCTTGGACAGAGGTAGGCAGCTTTATTTTACGACATAAAATGATAGTCACTGTTTGTGTTTGGTCTTACCTGATGTGGAGCAGCAACAGCTCTGAGGTAGTCTTTACGTGTGGTGACGCTTAAAATCTAAAATTAAACAAACGGAATTATGTTTAATTCAACAGCGGCCCTTGCTAATTTGCAGGTGGCAGTGGGCCCAAAGCTGAAGCACATTGGGCCTTTGTCACTTTTTAAAGGTGAGGAGTTTTCTAAGATTGCAAGTATTTTTAGCCGTCGTAAAAAAATCTACTTGGAAAGATTAAGTGACCAAAATTGTCAGCAAATTGCTGCAACTGCTAATTAGCCAATGACAAAGGAACTGATGCCATCCTAATGGCCGTGCGAGTGTCTGTGAGCCTTAAGATTGGAAGTGAACGCTCTGCAGAGGAGCCTTGGAGGGCAGGAGCTGCGGCTTGGTCTGTTTCTGTCCTTGCTAGAAGAGCTGTGTCAGTATCCAGCAGCTTGGTACCCATCCTGGAACCTGCAGGGCAGGCTTACCCATCACCCCACGGTCCGTACCGAAGTCTCCCTTTGCTTATGCTCTCAGGAACATTCATTTTAAGTCGGAACTCTGCTAGTTTGGCTATGATGAGCCACGTGTTTCCATTTCAGCCAAAAGAGGAGCTCTTCCCCATTCAGGTGCACGTTAGTTTTATTTTGGCCTCGTGACTGCCATTCCTTCATATAGTACTAGAGAAAGCCATGATATGCAGATAGACCAGATGGTCATGTTGACAGATTGAGAATTCACTTCCTACTGCTTCAGAGCAGGTGTAAGATGGGGAGTGCCTGTGAGTGTGTGCTTTGTGTGCATGTGTGCACACCCAGGCTGCACCCAGAGCGCTGCTTAAGCAGTAGCAATGGTTTCAGTAGTATCCTAAAGATACTTTTTAAAATGTGAAAACAATTACACATAAGGTACAGTACATATAAAATGATTTCAAACATTAGAAATTTTGTTATATTTTGTAATTATTCTATGTCCAAATAATTTTTACAATTTTACCAATTTTTAGGTGGCTAAACACATTCATTATAGGGAGGTTGCATTTCTAGTATAGTCAGCAAATATGTGTGTATATGTGTTTATATTCAAGACTAGGGCTCTACATATATAATTAAACTTTTTCAGAAGCTTAACAAACTCCCTAGCAGAAACGTGTGCACATAGTTCCCATGATTTGTGGTGATAAAGTATGTTTGGAAAAAGAAGGGATAAGTCTAATATGTGGTGAAACTTAAAATTGAGAGAGACCTAGTCTATATCCCAAATTCCAATCCTGACCTTAAGCACATTGCATGGTAGAATTTTTGGCACATTGATTATATTATATATTATTGATACATGTATACTGCTTTATCACCTAATTCCATAAGAATAGTTCTAGCAACCAACAGACTTGAGATTAAATATGACTTTTAGAGCCTTAAGTGTGTTCTGCAGTAACCTGAGGACAGTAACAATATCCTTTCCCTTGAATGTAGTAACAAAATCCTGTGCTTCGACCATAGTAAAAAAAGATGGACGTTCAAAGGCAGAGAACTCATGGGAGCACAGGCAAAAGTTGGTTGAGAGGAAGCTTTTGAATGGAAGTCAGTTTGTTTATGGCTAGGAGGTTTAACTGTGTTGGTTAGAAAGTTTCCCAATGCTATTGGCATGGTTTGCCTGTCTTCCTTCCCACCCTGTGATGAATAGCGT